AGTAGAAGTCAATTTTCAAAATCCTCAGAAGTTCTGGACTTTTAACATATGAATTTGCCAAATGTTGGCATTTTTGACAAGAATAATCTTTAAACTAGAGGGATACAGTGGCTCAGTGGCTAAGACGCTGAGCTTGTTGATCGAAAGGTCGGCAGTTTAGTTGTTCGAATCCTGAGTGCCGCGTAACAGGGTGAGCTCCCGTTACTTGTCCCAGCTTCTGCCAACCTAGAAGTCTGAAAACTTCTTAAAAGTTTTTGCAAGTATAAAAATAGGGACCACCTTTGGTGGGAAGGTTATCAGCGTTCCGTGCACCTTTGGCGTTTAGTCATGCAGGCCACATGACCATGAAGAAGTCTTCGTGCTGACGACAGCGCTGGCTCTTCGGCTTTGAAACAGAGATGAGCACTGCCCCCTAGAGTCAGGAACGACTAGTACATATGTGCAAGGGGAACCTTTACCTTTACCTAATCTTTAAGCTCTGTTTGTGTTATGCTCCTGGTTCAAGGCTCTTATTACTTTGTGTGTAAAAGATGGCATAAGCATGAGATTGTGAATAATAAACCTCCTAATTCCCTGCTAAAGAGGAAAATGGTTTTAAAGGAGCAACAAACGCTCTCTTCAGCTATGCTCGTGACATGACTTCCTGTTGACCACTTATGCGAATGTGGAAATTATTGCAACAGGTGGACTACTGCACAATTTGGAAGGGGCCAGGCACACAATCTTGTTATCACTGAAAGATGTTTGGGTCTTTGTGCAAGTAGCATAATGTGGACAGTTTGCACAAAAAACAATGTTGTTTTTAATGAAAGCTACTCCAATTCTTAATGTTTAGGTTATGGATCATGAAGTATTCCTTCTTGTATAAGTAAAATGTAGTCTTTCAAAAGTTCTTGAATTTCCATTAGTCCTTTTGGAATTTAGAATAATTCTAAGAGATATGGGAATCTCATAGTTCCTGGAATGCCATATGCTTTGCTTGACCTTCTTTTTTCACTGTACGTGCTTTATCTATTACTTTTAGCCTATATAAAGTAATCTTAACAGGGTAAAAACATTATATATTTTATACATTATGGATGGTACTGTTTCATCTTGTCAATATGGATTATCAGATTTCACTGCAGCATGTCAGATTTTATTACTTTCATACATGTCTTTCAAGATTTATGCAGGGTGTCCAGAAGTCTGTGGCAATCCACTTTCTTGCTAATTTTGGAAAAAAAGCTATGGTTATTAAAATGTTTGTGTAGCAGACCAGAAATAAACTGGCAATGCTCAAAATTCATTCCTTTGTGTAACCAGCATACTATTTTTAAAAAGTACATTTTGGTGAAATTTCTTAAAAGTTTTTCCCTTTTCACAATAGCACTGAACAGTATTTCTAAAATTTTATGGGAACAATATTAGGCAATTAGATGTTAAACAATCTGAATCATAAGGAGGAATAAATTCATATTTTATGGAAGACATTAGAATATGTTCACCTTTTTCCATATGTTTTGTCTCCTGGTTATCAATTTTATTCATTGCTTCTTAACAGTATTACCTTCTACTTAAAAAAATGGAGTATTATTCGGAGTAAAATGAGATAAATGGATTCTGTGGAGCATACACTACAAAATTCTATTTTCCCCTTTAGTATGATGATACCAAAATTCATCTTTGCTATGAACATGAGCTGTATTTCTATTTGAGGCACTAGCAGGTATCTCATGTTTAAAGGTATAATGTCATAAACCTCACCCCTTTGAGAGAAGGCCAACTTGATTGGCTTGCCCCAGGTGGGCCCAAAGGAAGTTAAGGTGTTTCCTGAAGATGTAATGGATAGTTCTTCTCCAAACTCCCAAAACTTTAACCTTAAATTGTCTACTGTTGACCTCATCCCATTCCTAAGAGGTCTGTAAGAGGTGTGCATAAGTGCACTAGCGTGCCTACCATCCCTGTCCTAATATTCCTTTTTTTTTTTTTTTACTTACTTAGTTGCTGCTTGGAATGGGTAGGTGGCTCTTGGTTTACTGAGGAGCTCCAGGAGATGAAGCACCAAAAGAAATGCTTAAGCCTCCCTGGACGAAGATTGGGAGCAAGTCTGATCAAACATCTGGAATTACCTCATGGCAATAAGGGCAGGAAAAAGGTAAGTATTTCTCCACCCTTAATGCATATGGAGATAGCTATCCAATGGCCATATTTAGGTTAACACAGTCCCTGCTGGGAAAGGCAGGTCAGAAAATCATCTGTAGGGCTACTTGCAATATATTCTGACTATCTGGCAGATAAAATTGCTTAGAACCACTCTTAGATTCCAGCTGGTCAGGTTCGCCAACAGCTCCATCTTGTAAAATGACCTGGGATGAGTTTGAGTTGGTAACTCTTGAGGAAGTCTTGAGAAAGTTGACAAGAGCCCTGGTGGCACAGTGGTTAGAATGCAGTATTGCAGGCTAACTCTGCCCACAGTTTAGAGTTTGATCCTGACAGCTCAAGGTTGAGTCAGTCTTCCATCCTTCTGAGGTCAGTAAAATGAGAACCCAGATTGTTGGGGACAATATGTCAACACTGTAAACCACTCAGAGTGCTGTAAAACACTATGGAGCAATGTATAAGTTTAAGTGCTATTGCTAAGATTCTCTGTACTTGGTCTGGCTTGGCTACTGCCTGTTTAATGCAGGTCCCTCCTGCGTTATTAAGGCAGCAAGGGAGGTGGCCCGCAAGTTGAATCTGTACTGCCTCTTTGAGAGGAGTGGAGCCCTCAAACTTTGAAGGAGTTCTCCTCCAAAACAACCCAACCTCATTCAACTTTCTTTTTTTTAAGGGAAGGTTGTTGAGAAAGAAGTTGGTTGCAAACCAGATTCAGTAGCAATATAGCTTTTGTTATCCTTGTTGACTGGCTCAGAATAGAGCAGGTGCATTAATCCTTATGCTCCTTGATCTCTCAGCAGCTTTCAATAGTGTCTATTACAGTGTCTTTCTGGACCAGCTACAGGGATTGGGAATTTAGACCATTGTGGCAAAAAGATACAGTATATCTAGATTTGTATTCTGCTTAGTTTGGATGAAAGAATGACTATTGTTGAGAAATAAGAGAATGCTGGAACTAGAAGAGCACAACCTGAGGTTTGGGTAGCATGTTTTTTTTTAATGGTATGATAAAATCAAAGTTAATGTAGATTTTAAAAATCATTATCAGGAGCACGATATATGAATATGGAAATACAGACCCAGTCTTTGTCCAAAAATTCTTCTATTGGCATCAGCACAAGAAGTATTTTATTGTACAGAGACAATGGGCAAAGAAAAATAGTTAATATATCAAGATTAGTTAGTACTAGAGAATGGAGAACATAAGCAGAGAAAATAATTGACTGCAGAGGGATTTAATTGTCAATGGTTTTCACATGTACAATTAAGAGAAAGATTAATATACATTTAAAAATCCAGATATATAGTATCATAAAATGGAATTTGAAAATGAATTATGTATAAATGTTGAGCACATGATTGCTAAAAAGTATAAACTTTTATTGAGATTTGAAACAGAAAAAATAGATTCAAGGGTATATGACAAAATGGGGAAGAACTTTGGTTTTAACAGGAGAGGAAGTGGTTAAAATTTTTAAAATTCACACGTCCTACAATTTAAAAGAGAATTGTTATAAAACAATGAACCAGAGATACAGGTCACTGGAGAAATTGGTACAGCTAACCAGAGAAATTTTCCCAGATGTATAAAGGGACTAATTACTTTGAAAATATGAAAAACATGAAGGGACATTTTATCATGCATGGTGGACATTTGAAAAAGCAAAAAAAAAAAAAAAAAAAAAAGTACTGGAAATAAACGCATATGATGCGTTAAAATGATGCAATAAATTTATAAAAATTAATATTCATATGAAACCACATTTTTTAATTAGGATTTATGGGCAGACAATTAGAAAGAACTCGTGGACAACAGGTTTTACATACATGCTCCTATATGTACAAAGATGGGACAATACAGAAGGCTCCCACAATGGAGAAGTGAACTGTGAACATGCAGAACTTGCAGAAAAGCCTGTTGACCTGTTAGATTAGGAACAAAATAATAAGTATTTTATAAAAGACTAGAAATCTTTTTGTGGACATTTTTGCTGAAAATGGAAAGAAAATGAGCTGATGATTTCTGGATTTAAAATGCAGGGAAGTATATAATGTAGTTCTAAAGGAGATAAAATGATAGAATGTTGATTTATAACTGCTGTAAACAATATCAGAAACTGCTTCTTTAACTTTTATTTTTTATCTCTCTGTTTTTAGCATTTTTTCTTTTATCTTTACCTGTTTTTCTTTTTCTTTTATACTCTTGTTCTTGCTTTACTTTTATCTAAAAACCTTTCAATAAAATTTATAAAAAAGAAACCCTTTGGACAACATCATTTTTGTAGCAGTTATGCCCTTTCTGGATTGAAAGGCTGCTTAGACAGTTTATATTGCTCTGGTTGCCTCATGGCAATACGCTCTACTACACAGGAGTACTTGAAGCTCACTTGGAAGATTCAAATGGTCAAAAATGCAGTGTGGCAGGCAGTGATGGGTATGGCCTAGTATGTTTTGCAAGCTTCATGAGTTGCAAGCATGCTTTTGGGCACAATGCCTTGTAGAAAACCATGTAAATGTGAAGAAAGTAAAACAGAAATAGCATGTTGTTAGGGCAAAACAATCTGATAAATTGTCTCTTTGTGGTGAAAATATTATTAAAACATAATATTCTGTACTGTAAAACATAAAAAGTTATTTGATTTCCCCTATTAAATTTCATACAGGATTTTCTAGGTGTTTTTTTGCCCATAATACAAAAAATATTTGAAATAATAGTTCCCTTCCAGGCATCAAGATGGCTGGAGTTTTTGTTGTGAAAACAGTATTTTTGCTGTTTCCTGCTTAGTTATATTTTCTGTATAATGCAAATGATAGAGAGATGAAGAAGTATAGAGAATTTAGAGCAAAATGAGAACTCCTACCTGAATTTGTGGTTTTAGAAGCTCTTCCTTTAGGGGCTGGGAGTAACAATAGTTCCAAAGACTGTGGTGGAATTACTTTCTCTTGCTTCATGTCTGAAAGCTGCAGGGGATCTTCTACAATCAGTGACTTTTTCTTTTCAGCCAAAAGGCTGCCTGCAGCTCTAGCAGCCACCTCCTTGAGTAGGGCTGCTGAAGAAGTCATTGAGGTGAGAGAAAGGAAAGAATTTGCTGGCGGTGAATGGTCCTGCCCAGGAGTCATGCTTCTTTCACTGACCTTCTTTGATAATGCAGCTAAGGTGGAGCTTGCTGATTGAGAACTAAATGGTGAAGGGAAGGCTTCAAACCTTATTGTTGAATCTTCAGTCCGAGAAAGAGACTTGTCCTGAAGGACTGCATTGGCAGCAGCTTTCAATTTTAGGATTGCTGAATCTGGAGACAAGCTGCAAGAGGGCATTGAGTTGGGCAACCATTTGCCTTGATTCCATATGAATCCTGTGTTTGGGCCATACTGATCGTTTTGTTCCTGTTTTTCAGCTAGCTTTCTTGCAAGGACACTTAGCTGCTGGGCATGATGTGTAGCTGGAGAAAAAGAGATATTTGAGCCAAGATTTACTGGGGACTCAACCCGGCCATTAACTGTGATAGTAGTATCTAGCTTGAGAGAACCAGCCTCCAGCAGACGTCTCAAATTACTACTCAATGGCTTGTTTGGCCCAGGATTATCATCATCACAGATAGAAGATACGCTAGAAGAGAGATGTTCCCTGTTCTGTAATACATCTCTTATGGCCTCATTCTCAACTGCTACCAATTCCAATGTGTTGCTACTAGGAGTCCCGCTCCCCAAAGAAGTGTCTGGAGATGTGGACTGCTCTTGGATCCTGTCCTCAAAGGATAATTTGAAGTTCTCCTGGACTTCTCCATAAGATGCTTCTGATGGGGTTTCTGAAGAGTTCCCAAACCAATGCTCTTCTTCACTAAGTTCCTCTTCGGCTTCCTCCTGTCTAGTACCATCTGTGAAGAACCAAGGTAAATATATTTCATTTTAAATTCTATCCATGTTATATACACAGTAAACTAATTGACTCAAATATACCACTAATGACACTAAGTAAATATTAAATTTATCAATAAATGTTAGTTTAATTTTAGTAACACAACATGATAGTTCTATGGTAATAAAATGTGTAACGTGAAGTATAAACAAACAGAATTCTTATCAATTTCAGAATATTCTTGTCTGGCACTTCACAATAAGCAGGGATAAAACTTGATATTCCAGAAACTTAACCTAATATTAAGAAATCTGGTATAAGAGAAGCCTTACATATATGACATAGTTAAAGAAATTGTTTTATTTTAAACAAGAAGCAATATACATATAATTTACATGCTGCAGAAAACAGAAATTATGTTACAGGTCATGCACACACAAACAAACAAACACACACACACACACACACTGCTCCTGTTTTAAATTCTAGACTTTTCCTCCCATTTCCTCTAATTAATGGACCTTTTGCTGTTTTCTTGATCTTGATAGCCAAGAGACATTTGCTTTCAAAGTATTAAGAGCTCTACTTTAGCCAGGTCCATCTGGATTTGTTTGAGGAACTATAGTAGCCCAAATAATCCAGCACAAGTATGTCAAAGTCTTTAATTTATAGTAGAGACTGTAATCACAAAGCCACTGAAAAATTACCTGAATGTTCCAGTATCGACAGCAAGATTCTCAGAATCAATGAGCAAGTTGTCCAAATACAGTTAAAACGCACCCAAAATTTATGAAAATTGGTCATAAATGTACCTAACAAATCCATACAACTTTGCTGGATACTTATTTTTTTGTTCAATTTATGTAGCTGACCACTTCACCTATGCATCTCTGACTGCTCAAGTAATAAGAATATAAATCAGTTAAATATTTATCCCCTCAAGTTGAAATGTTAACTTTCTTCAGCCAAATAAGGTGAAGAAGATAATTATCCTTAATTGTTATAGAGTTCAAAGCCAATAATCAAGGACAAATATATGGGGAACTATCCTTATTAATAAAAATGATATAAACACTGGGAGGGAGAAGAAAGAAGATGGGCAAATGAAGCCTTTTTGTAAACTCTCATCAATAAATACTTTTAGGTGTGCTATCTCTATATTTGATATTTCATGGGGCTCTGATTTTCAGGAATGAGAACAAATGGGGGGGGGGAAGGATGTTGCAATTTCCTCTTTGCTCTTTTTTTTTGCCAAGCAAGACTATTGTGGAACAGGATTGCATGGATATTTAAGGTCTTGCAGGCTGTGAACTTTGTGTGACAAAGAAGCAATGGTTCCATTATCCTAATGAATATGTGGATTATTCATTTGAACCCAGTACATTCTTCTATTGATGCTCTGGAAGGAAGGAGGCTTTGGACGGTATTACATGGTCAGATTCTTCATAATAAAAATGTAAGCCTTTTGTGGGTCAATGCAAGTTTTCTCAGACAGATAATGAAACTCAGTTCTCAGCTACATGGATTCAACTTCTCAAATCTCTGATGTATACACGTGAGTGGGGATGATGGAGGAAACACAGGACGAGGAATAGTGATGTCTTCTTTGCCCCTCTTATACTCTTATCACAACTTAAGTCTCCCATCAATAGCCAAACAGATCTAGAAATCCTCAAATGCCCTGATAAATGAGTCCCATATTTTACCTGACAATTCCTCTTTTAAATGGTCTAAGGTTCTTTCATTATAGTTGAACCCTAAGTTAACAGCATAAAGTCAGCGGTATTCTCTCACCTGGCACTTACCCTGTCAGAGATTATAGTTTCCCCAACTGGGAATCTCGTTTGACTGAATCATTAAAGTTAGCCCTTATCAGTGTCATAAAATTGATGCAGTTGTCCAAGCCTGCACTAAAAAGAGAGGTGCCAATTTTGCAACTATGACTATTTTGCAGTTGTCTTTCATTATTAAACTAATTGCATATAATATGTGAGACTGATTCATGGAAAAATCTTCAAGTTTATAAAAATCTATAATTCAGGAAGGTAGCAAATTTGCCAGGATCCCCACCATATTTATCATGTAGCAGATGAGCACACAGCATCAGAAAGTTGCTGTTCCAGCAGCTGACAAATCTTGGGCCAGAACTGGTAAAGGGACCGCTGGTTATAGTAGACTCTGCCTCACTTGCTGAGCTACTTGGTCTATCTTGGTCCATGTAGCTGAACCTACCTGGTCTATCTGGTCCACTTGCTGAAAGACCTGGTCCTGATAAGGCACAGGTGATTTGATGTGTACTTAATGGGTTTCAAAGGGATCTGTAATTATTATTAAAGCTGTTGAAGTATCTGATTTCTTCCATTAGTACTATGAATAGAAACAGGCAGATCTTGCTATCAGATTTCACACTAGACATACAAATAAATCTTGATAATGAAGACAATCAACTCTGTACAGTATTTAGGAATTTGCTTATAGCAGAAGCTTCCAAATATGACATGGCAGACAAAAAAAATTGCATGTATAGATATGCTTATCACAGAATACAGAAATCAGTCTGTTTCTCTCTCCATCCTACAATCCACCTTTCCACTCATCCATCCATCCCTTGATTCATCCATTCATCCTACCCAGCATTTATATTTTAGATCTTTTTTCCCATCTTTTTTAATCAATGGACTTTGGTTGTTTCCCATATCTTTGAATCTGCTCAGTGTTTATATACAAGATGTTCTAATGTCCACATATATTTTATGATTGCAAATCAAAGAATTATAAAGCCAGAATGAGCAACAGGCATGAGAATTCTGGAAACTGTAATCCCAACGTATCTGAAAGATATGTGCCTAGGAAAAGATGCTTTAGAGCCGTGATGGCGAACCTATGGCACATGTGCCACAGGTGGCACGCGGAGCCATATTAGTGGGCATGCCAGCTCAGCTCTGGGGCGCATGCGCGCGCCGGCCAGCTGATTTTCGGGCCTTCTGGGCCCACCAGAAGAAGGGAAACAGGCTGTTTCGGGTGCGTGGGGGGCGGGGGGGGGGGGGGGGGAGGCCCGTTTTTTTTTCTTACCTGGCTCCAGATCCTCTCTGTGTATCTGGGAACGGCGAAAACAGCTTTTCCCACTTCCTTGGAGGCCCTATGGAGGCTCAAAGGGCCCATTTCCCCACTCCCGGTGGGACAGGAAGTGACGTTTTTTCCTGTCCCCAGCCTCCAGAGACTCCTAGAGAGGCTCCTAGAGACTCCTAGAGAGGGTCCTAGAGAGGTTCTGGAGGCTGGGGACAGCAAAAAATGTCACTTCCTGTCCTACCAGGAGTTGGGAAATGGGCTTTTTCAGCCTTTTCCAAGGGAGTGGGAAAGGCTGTTTTCGCCGTTCCCAGATACACAGAGAGGATCTGGAACCAGGTAAGAAAGAAAAACAGGCCTACCAGGCCATCATGTGCCAGGAGCGGGGGGGGAGGGGGTTGCACACACATGCGTGTGGGCACGTGTGCGCGCGACCCTCCCCCGCCCCCCCTTTCCTGGCACGCGATGGCAAAAAGGTTAGCCATCACTGCTTTAGAGCTTTACCATAATAATTTATACACTAAGAACAGCAACTTTATTTCCAACATCTGTATGAAATATTACATCTCTTTTTCAAACTATCCATGTCCTTCAGAATTCACTTCTGACAACATTCACACAATCTCCTAACACCCGGTTCTCTGATTACTTACAATGCTTAATGTCTCAGAACTTTGGAAACTTTTGAGTATACTTCCCTCTTGCTTTTATAACCATATAACTGGTGTTTTTTTCCCCCCCACTCAATTTCCCTTTTTATTCTTTGTTCATACAGTCAACATTTCCTTAATGTTAGATGCCTAATTTAAGCTCTTTTTCAATCTCATTAATGTTATGTGTACAGCTTTCCTGGCACAATTCTTATGTGGATTTTTGGATAGGAAAATATAGGTGCTATTCACTTTATTTTGAAACTAATTGCCACACTGTTAGAAGTCCAGTTGCAACAGAATGACTAAATCTGCAGCTAACTGAACTGATAGCAATATTCTTTTTTATATTTAGAAAGAAACAGCCTCACATTTCCAACTGAATATGTTTTCAGTGATTTGTTTTCTGAAGTATTGAAAAATCCATGAATAAAGAGACTCTAGAACACAGGTGTCAAACTCACTGCGTCATGTTGCCATCATGTGACATTTGCAATGTTTTTCCTTCTCAGAGTTGGGGTGGGCATGGCTTGCGCGTGATGCATCTGGCCTGCAGGCTGCCTGTTTGACACCTCTGCTCTAGAATAACTTGCCATGACCAACTTACCGTGGGACAACTCATCGCAGGATAATTCAATGCTGTATTAATCATTTCATTCAGTTGCTTTTACTACTGGTGACCATGTTTTCGTCAAAATTATTGTAACTTTATTTTATTATCACTGGCCACAGTTCTGTTGAAATTAATTTAAATTTTGTATTTGTTGTATTTGTACTTGTCCTGTGGATAGTTGTCCCATGACAAGTCAGTTGCGGCAAGTTGTCCCATGGAGAGTTGGCTGCGGAAGTTGGCCATAGTGAGTTGCACATAAAAAAGTGGCTAACTTATTCATCTAACCCTTTTTCAAATTCTACCAGGAATTTAAAATAGCCCTTTATGTCACTTATCTTTGAAATATTAATGATTATTCAGAGTATAATTTTAAATAACACTAGGCTTAAAGGAAATGAACAACTCTTCCTCTAAGATTCCTCAGAAACAGAATAGTTCTTTGATAAGAATGTATTCTAAAATAGCAAGGTGAAAAGAACACTTTTCATAGAATTCTAATTTTTTAACTGAAAAGGGTTATTTTTTCATACTACTAGCAATTCTAACGTACCTTCTGAAATGTTTCTGTGTTTAAAGAGAGTGACCGTAGGCAGCTACTCCTCACCATAGGCATTCAAAGGGTGACAGATATGATCAAATATTTTTTTTTTGTATCTTTGGCTTGCCAACCCTGAAGTAATCTGGAACAGT